ACAGCCATACATACATACATACATACATACATACATACATACATACATACATACATACATACATATATATATATACATGCATGCATGCATGCATGCATGCATGCATACATATATACATTCATCCATACATACATGCATACATACATAGATACATACATACATGCATGCATACATACATACATACAGACAGACAGACAGACAGGCAGACAGACATACATGCATGCATACATACATGAACGCATGCATACATACAGACAGACAGACAGACAGGCAGACAGACAGGCAGACAGACAGACAGACAGACATGCATGCATGCATGCATGCATACATACATACATGCATACAGACATACATACATATACATACATATATATATATATATACATATATATATATATATATGTATAGACACATATACATCTATATCGGAGTAGGCCGGAGGAGGGCACATAATTGCGACCACTGGTTCGCATGGGAGGCCGGGGGGGCCCAGAGGGCCCCAAGAGGGTTCAGAAGGGGCCCCGGACCACCCCAGGGGCTCCCAAGCTCCAAGCTGGCACAGGAGGCGCCCAATGCGCCCCCGGTTGTCTGGAAGGTGGCTGAAGAGCGCACTGAGATGGCTTCCGGACAGGCCACGAGCGCTCGAAGACAGCCCAAGACTGCTCCCAGACGGCCACAAAGGCACTCAAGACGATCCAAGAGGCCGCCGAGAACACCCCCCAAGGCCAAAAATCAATCATTTCGTATGGAAAAAAGTTGTTGTCCGGGATGCTGTAGTGGCCTCTGGCTAGTGCCGGCGATCCGGGGCGCTTCCGTTGCTGCCGGAAGCGCACGATGGCGCTCATGACTGGCGACGACGGCGAGCGGTGAGGATGATGATGAGGTTTGGGAATGGAGGCGACGGAGTACGAGGAGAAAGAGGATCATGATGAGGTGGAGGGGGCTGGGGGGGGAGGGGCAGGAGTAGGAGGATGAAGGAGGAGCAGGAGGAAGCGGGAAGTGGAAGAGGGGGAGGTGGAGAAGAAGGAACATGACGAGGATGAGGGGATTTTCGGCGGTTGTTGGAAACGTTTGGCGGTTGTTGGAAAGCCTCTTTGGGCCAGGTGTGGGCCTTCTTTGGGTTGACACCTCGCCGATGTAGCGCACTCTCTGAAAAGCTTTGTGCTAGAGCTGTCTGCGTCACAGCTCTTTGTGGAGCCTTGTGCATCACCAGTCTCTGCTGGGAACCATGGTGTTTTTTGGGGTCTCTGGGGCCTTCGCGCGGTCCTCTGCGGGCCCTTGTGATATCATGGATGTGAAGGACACCGAAAACGGGGGAAAATGCGAAAGCGTGGAAGAACCTTTTGCATTGCAGCGCTTGTGTTTAGCCGTAAGCGCTGTGGAAGCATTGGGGCCGATTTTGGGCTTCTCGGGGGGAGTCTTGGAGGCAGCTTGGAGGCCTCCTGAAGGCGTCTTAGGTGCACTTGTTGAGACCCTTGGGGGCCTCTAGGGGGCTTCAGGAGGCTTCTTCGGGGCCAGTTGGAAGCGTTTCGGGGCCTTTTCAGGCCTCTTGGGGGCCTCTGGGGGCCTGCTGGGGGTTTCTTGGGCCGTCTTCGGCACTTATTCCGCTGTCTTGGCGCCCTCTCAGGCGCCTCTTGGGCCCGTGCTGGGGCCCTTTTGGGCCTTTCCGGGGGCCTCCTGGGCCATCTTGGGCCCTTCTAGGGCCGTCTTGGAGCCCTCTTGGCGGCTTCCTGGGCCGTTTTGGGGCTTACTTGGGGCGTCTGCGACGCTCTGAAGGCCCAGGAGGCGAATATGCGAAAATTGCACGTTTTCCTTGAAGGAATGGGAAACACTTATTTGGGCCTTCTTTGGGAGGCCTTTTTCAGGGTTTCTGAAGGCATCTCGGAGGCTTCTGGAACCGTCTTGGGGACATCTTGGGCGCCTTGTAGCGATCGTTCGGCGACTCGGGGCCCTCTTGGCCCATGTCGGGGCCCTCCTGGGCGAGAGGGCCGTCCCGTAATGAGCTGGAGCTCCGATTCCGCCCCGGGAATGAAATCGACCCCCTCCCCTACCCTTCCCCCGGCAGAGCCACCCCGGCACCCACCCCCCAGTAGAGCTGAAGCTCAGGAATTGACAACTTTGAAACTCGGGCCGGATCGGCGGATTTGCTTTTCAGTCCTACCAGCGGCCGCGACGGCCCCAGAGGCTCCCCAAATGAGCCCCAGACGGCCCAAGAGGCCCCTCAAGAGGGCCTCCAGACGGCCTGAAGAGACTTTCAAGCAGCACAAGAGAGCTCCAACACGGCCCCAGAGAGCACCCAGGAACCCCGAGGGGGCCACCGGAGGATCCCTACATAGTCGCAGAGGGCCCCCCGAGGGCCCCAAGACGGGCTCGGGTCCCCATGACTGGCGAAGAGGGACCCAGAACGGCCGAACTGGGCTCCCAGAGGGTCCAAAAAACGCCTACCAGGACTCCGTGAAGGCGGTCCAGGAGGCCGCTGAGGAGGCTCCTGGGTGCAAAAAACGAACATTATTTCATGGAAGAACGTACGTTTTGATGACATTCGCTTCTTATGTTCCATCAGCGGCCACGTCGGCCCCAAAAGCTCCCCAAATCGGCGCCACCCGGTCCACGAGGCCCCCAAGAGGGCTCCAAGACAGCCTCAAGAGACCGTCGAGCAGCACAAGAGAGCTCCAAAACATCCCGAGGGAGTCCCCAGGGGGCCCGAGGGAGCCACCCAAGGATCCCGACATGGTCGGAGATGGCTCCATGAGGGCCCCAAGACGGCCCAGCTACCCATAACATGCCAGGAGTTTTGGACAGCCGAAATCGGTTCCCAGACGGACCACAAAAGGCCCAAAAGGACCCCCCCACGATTGTCCAAGAGGCCGCTGAGAAGGCCCTCCAAAGGCAAAAATCAAGAATTGTCGCATGAAAAACCGTATAGTTCTGGGAGTTTCTCTTTTCAGATCTACCAGCGGTCGCAACGGCCCAAGAGGTTATCAAAATGAGCCCCTGACGGCCCCAGAGGCCCCAAATATGGTTCGAAGATGGGCTGAAGAGAGCATCGAGCGGCACAGAAGAGCTAAAGACGGCCCAAGCCCCCAGGAAGCACGAGGGGGCCACCAGAGGATTTCTACATGGTCGGAGAGGGCTCCAGGAGGGCCCCAAGACGGCTTGAGCTCCCCACGACGAGCCAAGAGGGACATGGAACGGCCGAAATGGGCCCTCAGACGGGCCGGGACTCCAAAGGAAGGCCTGCAGAGGTCCCAGAGACTTCCACAATGGTTCCAAGAAGGCTCGCAGCACGCGTTTCAGTACGCACCCGTGTACTGGGTGCGTTGAGAGAAAAGAGGAGGAGGAGGAGGAGGAGGAGGAGGAGGAGGAGGAGGAGGAGGAGGAGGAGGAGGAGGAGGAGGAGGAGGAGGAGCAGCAGCAGCAGCAGCAGCAGCAGCAGCAGCAGCAGGAGGAGCAGGAGGACAAGGAGGAGGAGGAGGAGGAGGAGCAGGAGGAGGAGGAGGAGGAGGAGGAGCAGGAGGAGGAGGAGGAGGAGGAGGAGGAGCTGATGGTGCTTGTGGTGGCTGGCGATGGTCGTGATCAAAGTAGGCCGGGGGAGGGCTCAGAACCACGACCACTGGTTTGCATGGCGGTCCGGGGGGGCCTTGAGGGCTCCAAGAGGGCCCAGAAGGGGCCCCGGACGCCCCAGAGGCTCCCAAGATGGCCCAAGAGCCAAGAGGCTCCCAAAGCGCCCCAGGTTGTCTGGAAGATGGCTGAAGAGCGCATTGAGATGGTTTCAAGACGGCCCACGAGCGCTCGAAGACAGCACAAGATTGTTCCTAGACGGCCACAAAGGCCCTCAAAACGGTAATTACAAGAGGCCGCCGAGAAGGACCCCCAAGGGTAAAAATAAAGAATTTCCGAAGGATGAGTTATATTTCCTGGATATCCGCTCTTTCAGTCCTAACAACGGCCACGACGGCCCGAAAGGCTCCCAAAATCGGCCCAAGAGGCCCCCAAGAGGACCCTTGGCCTGAAGAAAGTTTCGAGCAGCACAAGAGACCGCCAAGACGGCCCAAGAGAGTCCCCAGGGGGCCTGAGGAGGCCACCAGAGGATCCCTGCATGGTCGGAGAAGGACCCAAGAGGGCCCCAAGACGGGCTCAGCTCCCCATGTCGGGCCAAGAGGGGCTCGGGACGGCCGAAATGGGCCCCCAGACGGACCAAAACGACCCAAAAGGATTCCTTTCTGGGATATTCGCTTTCTCAATCCTAACAGCGGCAACGACGGCCCTAAAGGCTTCCAAAATCGACCCCAGGCTGCCCAAGAGGCCTCCAAGAGGGCACCAAGACGGCCTGAAAAAGTCTCAAGTAGCACAAGAGAGCTCCAAGACAGCCCGAGAGAGTCGCCAGGGGGCCCGAGGGGCCACTTGAGGATCCCTACAAAGACGCGCTCAGCTCAACATGGCGGGCCAAGAGGGACCCACGCAGTACACATTCGCAGCAAGAGATGGGTTTGCCTTTCATACCGTTGTAAACTTCAACGATGGCGATTTCGATAACATGCTTGGCTTGGCTGAGGAGTAACTTTGAATGTGTCGTGGCGATGGTGATCACGATGCTGATGATAATGGTGACAATGATGATTGTTGTGATGGTGATGGTGAAGGTGACCATGACCATGACGATGACGATGAAGATGACGGGGATGAGGATGACAATGATGACGATGATCATGACCCTAGCTAGACGTTGAGCGCGCGCGGCGCGCGCGATGGTTTCAGCATATATGTATATGTAAATATACACACATAGCGAAGAAGAAACACAACAAGTAGATAGGGAGAAAGAGAGATAGAGAGAGAGAGAGAGAGAAAGAGAGAGAGAGAGATAATACAAAGAGAGAGAGAGAGAGAGGGAGAAGGTGAGAGGTGAGAGGCAGGGGCCAGGGCGCCAACGAGGAGGACAGATTCTCCGGCATTCGTGGTCGTCCGTCTGGCTTTGTGCAGCATGCCCCGAGCGGAAGGTGCCAGAGAAGAGTGCCGCAGAAGCAGGGGTCGCTGCGGGGCGGCTCCGGGGTCTCCTCCTTCATGTGCGACGCCTTCCTGTGCAACCAGTGCGAGGCCGACAACGAGTGAGGCCAGCGCGGCAGCACGAGGAGCAGCAAGAGGAGGAGGAGGAGGAGGAGGGGGAGGAGGAGGAGGAGGAGGAGGAGGAGGAGGAGGAGGAGGAGGAGGAGGAGGAGGAGGAGGAGGAGTGGGAGGAGGAGGAGGAGGAGAAGGAGGAGGAGGAGGAAGAGAGGAGGAGGACGAGTAGGAGGAGGAGGGAGGAGGGGGATGAGAAGATGGAGAGAGAAGGACAAGGTGCAGATGGAGGAGAAGGGGAGAGAGAGGTGAAGGGAGGGAGAGACTGGGGGAGGGGTCAGGCGAGGGGGGCGGGGAGAGAGAACGGAGAAGGCGGGAGGGAATGAGACAGGGGAAAGGGGATGGAGACCGGAGAGGGCAGGGTAGGGGAGAGTTTTGCGAAGGCCGCGGCGCCCGATACATTTTCCAGAGCCGCCGGATCTCAGAGATTCTCGATTCATCCTCACCCGATGTGACTTTCTTCCTGGTTTCGCTTGATGGGGGGATGAGAGAGTGAAGGAGAAACGAAGATGAAAAGAGAAGGTAGGGGGGAGGTGACGAATGGTTGGGAGCCATGAAAAGACGGGACGGGAGGAAGGGCGAGAAAGAGACATAGGGAGACGGAGAGGAATGAGGAAGAGGAGGAAGAGGAGGAGGAGGAGGAGGAGGAGGAGGAGGAGGGGGAAGGGTAGGAGGAGTAGGAGGAGGAGGAGGAGAAGAAGAAGGAGAAGGAGGCGGAGAAGGAGGAGGAGGAGGAGCGGGTACACACCCAAGGCATGTGACATCTGACCCAGTCCTCACGTGTGCTTCAATCGGAGGGCACAGTGCACTTGACAGTTCTGCGCTGAGTACGTGCCAGTGACTGGTGGCTGCCAGGCCACCGCCTCTTGCGTGTGCGGTCCACTCCTCCGGATCCTCTTCTTACCGCTTCGCGTTCATTTCCCACTGACGACTCTGGTCAGCATCGTAGCACATCTCGACGAAGCAGGACAGCGAGCAGCTCGTTAGGCGCGTCTGGCTCGACATCGATGCCTGCTGCGCTCTGCATCCCCTTCAGATGCCTCTTCGCCCGCCACGTGCTGTTACCCACCCTGCCTTCCCCATCCCATTCCCCCTCTTCCTCCTCCTCCTCCTCCTCTTCCTCCTCCTCCTCCTCCCCCTCCTCCTCCTCCTCTCCCTTCCTCCTCCTCCTCCTCCTCCTCCTCCTCCTCCTCCTCCTCCTCCCTCCTCTTCCTCCTCCTCCTCCTCCTCCTCCTCCTCCTCCTCCTCCTCCTCCTCCTCCTCCCCTCGCGACTACTAGAACGCGATCTGTACGAGCGTCTCCTTGGGTGCCGCCCTCGTAGCTTTTTAACACCGCGACGCCGTGGTGGGATGGTCCCGTCCCTCGCGCCGAGGAACCTTGCGGGGTGGGTGGGCAGGAGATTTAGACTCCGCCCCCCACCGCCGCTTCGTGGACCAGTCTCTCGCAAGCTCGTGGTGGGGGAGTGCAATCGCCACCGCTGCGACAGCGCTTTCATCGAGGTGGTCGCCCTGTACGTGCGCAACCTCCTGCTCTTCCGCATCGAGGCGCGCTCCTGCCGGGCATGACGTACCCGCTTGCTCCTCCGAGACCCAGGTCGACCACACGGTGGGCTGCCCCGGTGGGGCGGAGTCCAACCTCGCCGACCTCCCCGACGGCGGGCTCGGCGGCGTGACTCGCAACTCCAGCAGCGAGCGCCCGCCGAGGAGGCGTGGCCCGCGGCCGCGGGCTCGCCCAGCCTCGCCCTGTGAGGATCAACTACACGTAAGATTGACCCTTCGCCGGGGTGACCTCTGTTGCGGGCCCATCGGGGTCCCCCGACCGCCGAACGCGATGCGATGTTAGCGCCTTGCGCGCCCCAAAGGCCGCGCACCAAAGGCCACTCTTGCCCAGGGTCGCTCGTGCGTGCAGCCGACAGGCGTGGCCGACCTTCGGCGGCGCGGGTGCCCGCTGGGCCCGGACACCCGTGCCCGAGCTGCTGCGATCTCTTGTCCTCTCTCCCCCTGATCCTCCGCCTCCTCTCGGGTCCCACCCCCACAGACCCAGACCCCCTCGAGTAATGAAAAAGTCATGACGGGAGGTTTTTCGCTATTTTCGGCCCCTGGGGGCCCCCTCCGGGCCTCGGGAGCGTCAAAAAACGACTCAGGATGCAAAGCCGGTCATGGGGGAAAAAGGTCAGGACCTCTGGGGGTCGACGTAATGAAAAAATCATTACGTCGGGGGTCTGGGGAGGGTGGGACCCGTTCGCCCACCAATCTTCTCAGTGACCCGCTTGGGGTCCCCAAGCTCCGGCAGCGAGTCGACTCTTACCGATACCGATACCGACACCCCCCCCCCCCTTCCTCATTCCCCCCCCCCCTCTCCGCTCCTCTCTCCGGCCCGGGGCCGGAGGACGCAGCGCGGCCACGGGCGCAGACGCCCCCGCGGCCCTTCTGGCTCTGCACGGGCAGGCTGGCCGCGCCCCCTCCCAGGGTGCAGCTGCGCTGCACCACCGCCCCGCCGCATCGCGCCGCCCCTCGCGCGCCGCCCGCTCGGGCTCTGCGCGTCGAGCGGTGCCCACCGCGTGGCCCACCATCTCAGCGACCCGGCGCGCCGGACTCCCGAGGGCGGCAGCTGCCTCGTGCCGTGCTTCGCGCCCCCCACATCGGTCGGCGACCACGTCCTGCGATGCGTTTCCAACGAGTCCATCACGGGAGCTATCGCCTTCCGGCTCCCGCTCTGGACGGCCAGGTTCTTCCCGATCCACTTGCGCACGATCCGATCGTCCGGTGGTTCTACACGAAAGCCTTCTGGTGCGTGAACGTCATGCACTCCGTGCCGATCCTTGCGATGTCCGCGATGATGTTCGTGTGCTTCGTGCCGATCTCTGACCCCCCCCACCGGCCAGGGTGGCCCCCATCATCTTCGTGGCGTTCCCCAAGGGAGACCTTCAGGATCGCCGTGGCCACTTACCTGGAACCCTGCGTAACCTTCGTGCCGTTTTCCATGCCGAAGCCCCACCACCCGCCGAACAGGGAGGCCACTAGGCCGTCACTGCAGCCAGCCTAGATGTGCCAGAGCATCACGGCCCTACCGACGGGCCTCCGCCGATTGCCACTGGAGCTGACCATGGCCACCAGGCCAAAACTGTGCCCAGCCCCCATGTTGCAGTTCATGGTGACCCTCCCCCTGCGAGTCCGCCGACTACCACTGGCGCCAGCCAACGGGGCCACCAGCCCCACACTGCAGCCAGACCATCCGCCGCGGTTCACTACGACCTTCCGGCCGAGTTCTCGAGGACTGCCAACGGAGCCGCTCAGCGTTACCACCAGACCAACACTCCAGCCGGTCCCCGCGATGTCGCCCATGACGCGGTCCGTAGTGACCTTCCGCGTGAGCGTCCGCCGGCTCTCGGGGACATCAGCCACGTGGGCCACCATGCCCACGCTACAGCCAGTCAATCCGCGACCTTCCCGCCGAGTGTCCGACGACCCCGATTGGAGCCCCCAGTGTCGCCACCAGGCCAGCACTCCAGCCAGTCCCCGTGTTGTCGCCCACGACCGTCCGCCGACCGCCGGAACGACCGCCGACGACCGACTGTCGACTGCCCGACCTCTGACGACGGCGATTGACGACCTTCGTTCCGATCGCCGGCGGGCTCTCATGAGAATCAGCCGCGTGGGCCGCCAGGCCCGCGCCGCAGCCAGTCCATCGGCCGCGGTGCACTGCGGCCCCCCCCGCCGGGTGCCCGAAGGCCCCCGCTGGAACCGCTCGGTGTTGCCACCGTGGCCAGCACTTCAGCCAGCCCCCGCGGCGTCGCCCACGACGTGGTCCGCGCTGGCCCTCTCTCGGCGCGCGCCCCGCCGGGCCCCCAGGAGCAGCCGCCACGGCGGGCCACCCGGCCCGCGCAAGTCCAGCGTAAAACGAAGCGAAATCTCGGGCGGGAGCGCTGGTTTTGTTGGGACGGCGGTTGCCGGCGGCGAGGAGGAACACCGCCTCGAGTAAGAAGGGAGGAAGTCTCGAGCGGGAGCCGTGGTTTGGTCGGGACGGGGGCTGTCGGCGGCGAGGAGCAGCACCGTCCTGAGGGAAAAAGGGAGGAAGCCTCGAGCGGGAGCGTTGCTCTTGGGAGCGGCGCCAATTCAAAAGAGAGCAGGGCGCCAGTCCAGTGTAAAACGGGAGGAAGTCTCGGGCGGGAGCGCTGGTTTTGTCGGGACGGCGGTTTCCTGCGGCAAGGGTGAGTACCGCCTTGAGCACAGAAGGGGAGGAAGTCTTGAGCGGGAGCGTTGTTGTTGCTGGGGGCGGCGCCGATGAGAGAAAGAGTAGCGCGCCAGTCCAGCGTAAAACGGGAGGAAGTCTCGAGCGGTAGCGCTGGTTTTGTTGGGACGGCGGTTGTCGGCGGCGAGGAGGAATACCGCCTCGAGTAAGAAGGGAGGAAGTCTCGAGCGGGAGCCGTGGTTTGGTCGGGACGGGGGCTGTCGGCGGCGAGGAGCAGCACCGTCCTGAGGAAAAAGAGAGGGGGCCTCGAGCGGGAGCGTTGCTCTTGCTGGGAGCGGCGCCAATTCAAAAGAGAGCAGGGCGCAAGTCCAGCGTAAAACGGAAGGAAATTTCGGGCGGTAGCGCTGGTTTTGTCGGGACGGCGGCTTTCGGCGGCGAGGAAGGCACTGCCTTGAGCAAACAAGGGAGGAAGTCTTGAGCGGGAGCGTTGTTGTTGCCGGGGGCGGCGCCGATGAGAGAAAAAGTAGCGCGCCAGTCCAGCGTAAAACGGGAGGAAGTCTCGAGCGGGAGCGTTGTTGTTGTTGTTGTTGTTGTTGTTGTTGTTGTTGTTGTTGTTGTTGTTGTTGTTGTTGTTGTTGTTGTTGTTGTTGTTGTTATTGTTGTTGTTGTTGGGGGCGGGTTTGGCGCCCCCGAAAACCGCTCGAGCGTGAGCCTCATGTTCAATGAATATGTAGCCGGCGCCGAGGCGAGAGCGCCAAGGCGCTTGGGGGGTCCAACAACCATTATTGTTTAGTAATTAATA